CTCCGGTGACAACGATCTATGGCGTTGTTCTGTACTGATCTTTGTTGCGGGACTTGGTCTGGGCACCGCCATGCTCGCTGTATCTTTCAAAGACGCTTCTCTTCGGCCGAGGACGAACTGGAGAAAGACTTTGTTAGATGAACCCTACTCAGGCACGCGTTCTCCGGACAACGTACGACCTTGCTGGCACCGTGCGCATCCAGAGCCAAGGACACCATTACCTCAAGGTCATTGCTGCTGCCATTTACGACGAATACTATGCCGCGAACACTGAAGAGTGTTGAAGCGTCAATTTTCGTTGCTTAAAGTCACTAGTGATTGACAGATCATGGTCTAGCCATATCTTTTTCGAGGGCCAAGGACACCAGTGCCCCAAGGCGACCGCCGCCGCCAGTCACAGAGAATCCATGCCGCGAACATTAAACAGAGTTGAAGCGTCCATTGCCGTTGCCGTTGCTGAAAGTCACTGGTAATTGAGAGATCATAGTCTGGCCATACCTTCCTCGGTACTTGTGGACGATGGTGCGAAGCAGGAAAAGCCTCTCTAGGATGAGGTAGGTAGGAGGAACATGCCGTCCAAGCACGAGAGGGAAATTGCGAACTGGAGAGACTGGCAGCATTGTTCGCAGCTAGCCGATTCTCAACTTCCAGTGACGGCCACGAACGTCTGAACGGTAATTGCACGACTTATCGAGGTCCGCAACACACTATACGGCGTTGTTATTCATCACGCCGTTAAGCAGCTACATAGCGATGCTGGCACCCAACCTGCTGACATATCCACACGGACTTCGGCCTAAAAGGTTTCCTAATTGGGCCCCGAAAGGAAAGGGAATTGCCAATGCTTCCTGCATAGATTCCATTGACGCTCTCTAGAGAACATACGACGTCCAGCATGCCGTTAACCCGAATTGTAGGTCATCTTCACTCGCCCAGGCAGAAGCGACCAACTGATCTTCCATTCCAGTCTTGCGAAGCTTGTCGCACGAACAAGGTCAAATGTGTGTTCCATGAAGGCTCAACTGCATGCTCGAGGTGTTTGAGGCGAGATCAGCTCTGTCGAAAGCCCCCACATGCTCAAAATTCGCACCGTGGGCCGAGACAGTACAACGCCCGTTTTGCAAGGGTGCCATCGCGAGCTCCTAGAGTAGTCCAAGAGAGGCGTGAAGACGATAGTTCGAATGAGTTACTTGAACGCATTGCTAGGCTGGAAACGCTTGTGTCCGCCACAGGGCACCATGCATCCACCTCGCCTGCTGATCGTGCCACCGTGCAAGTTCTGACACCTAGCGCTGCTTTGGTGACCGGGATCAGACTTGCAGTGAGTCAAGGCGGGCTGTTCATTGATGTCCCAACAGGGACTGCCACGGACCTTGCGCCGCTGGACGATCATACCAGTTTTCCTGGATCCTTGCAACACACGAATGAGAATGCTCTCGTAAGCGGGCCAGGACTGCTCGAAGGTTTGACTGTACCTGGAATACCGGCGTCTCGGCCATATCTCCCACCCACAGACGAAGCCTTTGCATTGCTCCAAGAGTTTCTCCACGACTTCAACAGCAAAATTCCACTGATAGCTCCTCCGCATATCTACGCACATATGCGTGACTGCTATTCTGGCGCAGTAGAGGACACCCACCCGGCTTGGGTCCTCACATACATGGCGATCGGCATCGCGCACCGCTTACGCGCAATGAGTATCTTTCAGGTGCCCGACGACACGAGTCGAGCGGACTGGTATCTGACAAAGTGTTTAAACCGATTGCCAGATCTGATCATGCAAGAGCCGTCCATACAGCTAGTGCAGGCCGTGCTTGGGATAGCTATCTTGATGCAAACTTCTTCGCGTTCCGAAAAGGCAGCGATCTACGTTGCCATGGCGTTGCATTTCATGCAGACCCTCGGATACCACGACAAGGCCACACGGAGCGATACTTCTTTGCAAGAAAAGTATGTCTTCTGGATAGCATTTTTCATGGACACAGACATGAGCCTTTCCAGCATGCGGCAGGCGACACAAATTCTTTCGGAAATTGGTGTTTCGTTGCCAGACGATCGAAACAAGGATTGGTGGTCCGAGTGCCATTGTTCAGTCGGACCGGGAGTCAACATCTTTGCGCTTCACACTGGTCTCGCGGTGATCCAGGCTGAAGCACTGGAGCGTCTGTTCTCAGTGAAGTCTCGTCAGCTTACTGACACAGTACTTGAAAGTACGTACCTCGATATATTGGAGAGGTTGCAAGCATGGCGGCAATTGAACGTGGATATGGCGGTGCAAGAAGTGTTCAAGTCGATGTTTCGCTCAGATGTGGTACACCTGATCATTCTCGAGGCGGCATACTTTCGCACGCTTTATCAGCTACACGCAGCGCGCCTACTTGGTGGCCTAGGAAGCCGACTAGATACCCTATCTAGCGACTCGCTGCGAGCCATCGTCGAATTGGATGATGGATACTGTTACACCGATGCCAGGCGACTGCTAGAGCTTTGCGCGCTTGTGTCCGGGACGCACATCTCTACCACATGGATCTCCGTACAAGCTACGCTTGCTGCGCTTTGCACTGTTCTCGGACCGTACTGCCGAAAACGTCGATCTTCGCCCTCGCTTGCTGAAGGGAACGCCGTGGCAGCAGATCTGTCGCTTTGCGAGGAATCCCTAAGTCGACTAGAACTTGCCACGGCGCAAGTCGAGCATCCGCCGTGGGGACCAGCAGTCGCTGTCTGCCTCGAGATGCTGGAGCAAGCGAAGACTCATGCGAGTGGCAAACATTAGCGTATTGCAGTCTTCGAAGCGTCTTATCTGAGATTGCAGAATGTACGTAGCACCACCACGACACCGGCGCTGCCAGGACTGAGCGATTGGTAGTGTACTTGCAATAGCTCCGCTCGTTCGAGCCGACTGTACGAAGATTCGAGAGCGACGTTCGAAATCCTACAGTGCGGTTAACTGTGCATGAGCATCGTCAGAAATGATGCTGCAGAGAGGACTGGTGCTTCTCGGAGATAGAGCAGTGTACAAAAAGCAACTGATGAGTTCGCGTCGTGCTTGTAACAGCGTGAAAGAAGTTTTCTCTGAGTCATGTCTGTGATCCCGTTGGAATTGATCGGGTTCATCGCAGAATAAATGGCATCAGTGACTGTGGCGTATCTGCAGGATCCTTGTTGACCAATTGAGCCGAGTTCTGCTTCGTATTGGGCACTTGACTCTGTCACTTTGGCATGATTTTGGTAATAACACGGAGATCTGAGGTTTTTCGGGCACGGAGATCCTTGCCTTCGTCAGCATAATGATGTCTCTCACACGTTCGCCGAAAAGCAACGGAGATCGCACATGTAGCAGCGGGGGTCGATCTATGATCTGTAAGCTCTCCGGCGTTACACGCAATCATATGCAGACTGGTCTCAATGCCGGTTGCAGGTGCTGAAGAATATATGAGGGAGCTTGAGATTCCGACTTCTGCTCATCCATCTCGACAGCATCCTCCTCGTCCCACCACATCAGCTCCCCTCGCCCGCCGACCAACCACCAAGCAGTAGACGGAGATATGTCGACCGCAAGGGATGATCCTTCTCTGGCGTACACGATCCCATTCCAGCTCACGAAGAAGATTCATCGCCGTGTCCCTGACGCACTCCAACCAGAGAAAGCCGAGAATTCTCAGGCTGGAAAGATCATTGTCATCACCGGTGGTGGTAGTGGTATTGGAGCAGTGAGCAGGCACTTCTATATTTTGGATCGCACTCCACTGACGAGATTGGCAGGCCTCGGCGAATGTATGGGTTCGTGCGGGTGCCGAAGGTGTAGTAATCGTCGGCCGCCGTAAAGAACGCTTAGAGCAGACTGCTCGCTCTCTGGAAGCCCTGGGCAAGGGAACCAAGATCCTCGCTATTCCAGCGGATTCCACTATAGAGAAAGACATGCTACATGTCTACTCTACAGTCAACAAGACTTTCGGGCGACCAGCCGACGTGGTTCTCGCAAATGCTGGTGCGTTGTCGGCCATCAAGCCGTTGGGCGAAGAAGAGGCTTCCGAGTGGTGGAGGATCTATGTTAGTATTTCTATCAGAAGTTTAGCGGCCTCGCTGACTTTGAATTACAGCAAGTCAATGTGTTGGGTTTGCATCACACGGTCGCCTGCTGGATCAAGACACAGCCATTTCCCAAGAATCCCGTAGGCACTGTGATTAACGTCTCCTCAGGCTTGGAAGGTCTCGTCTCTCCAGGTCTGTCGGCATACAGCACATCCAAATTCGCTGGGCACAGATACATGGAGTACCTGGCGGCGGGTACGTAAATGAATGGCATCTCATGCTTTCTTTGGCAAAGCTGATTTCCAGGCAGAGTACCCTTCAATCCGCGCATTCACGCTCATGCCCGGTATCGTGCCAACGGATCTGGCAGATCCACAATTTCTTCAGTATGCCTTGGACGAGGGCGAGCAGACCGGAGCACTCGCCTTGTACTTGGCGTCTCCTCGTGGAGACTACTTGAAGGGTTCGCTGACGAGTATCAATTGGGACCTAGACGAGATGGAGGCCCGCAAGAGCGATATCGAGCAAGGGTTGTTGAAGCTCAAGTGGGTGCCAGTCCTACCGGCCAGTGGCGGGAGTGGTATCTGAGGACGGTCAAGTCGAGGGTTGGTGTAGTGGTGGCGGGGTTGAAGCTGTGGTCCTGTGCGGAAGTAGTGTAGACTCCAGCTCAGTAGCACTGATATCTATACCGCTTACGTACTCAACGTGCTTTTCCTGGCTTACGCTCAAGGACCGAAGCGATGTAGGTCTCATCTCAATCGTGTACATGCTCAAGCTGTTCTGCACAGTCCATTGCTGTTAAGATAAGGCTAGTTGTTGTCTGGACGATCTAGAGCGTGCGTAAGCTGAGTTTCGACCGTAAAATGCCCAAAATGGTAGGCACAGCGTACACCATCACCAGGACAGATGCCCTACCCCCCTGGACACCCTCAACAAGTGTGACAGAGTGCAATAGAGCCAAAAGGAAGTCTCCCCTCCCGGGTTCGAACCAGGGACCTCAAGATGTCAGAAGACGGGTTTATTGCCATTACAGTCTGGAAGAAGAGTCAGCAACAACATCTGTGATGTCGAAGGTACTTGTGCGTACCTTGCGCTCTTCCAACTGAGCTAAGGAGAGTTGAATCAACGAGTTGGAACTCATCGTCTCTATGCTGAGATATGCTGTCGAAGTTTTTGTTTGAATATCTTAGACGCGGCGTGTGGGCGAAGTATTGCCGGCTGTGCTTGCCCTGCCGAGGCACGTCTACCTCCGTGTCAGCATAAGACCTATCGCCGTGTCCAAGAATGCTCGATGATATTGCATTTCCAATGGCTATATGAGGTGTGTTGTCTGTGTGGTTGTGAAGAGTCAAATGGCTTGCCTGCCTTCGCCGGACGGAATGCATGCCTCAGGCCCACGAGGCGTATACTACTTTGCCGCTATTACGCAGCCAAGGGCATGCCCTTTTGCTGTATATTCGTCTGGGATTCCGGGAAGAGGGAGGTGGTCGGGAAGCTCATCGTGCTTGGATTGCACCACGGACCGAGCAGGTATGTTGATGAGGTTGCGGATGAGGTTGCAGATGTACTTTAATCAAGTCGATGATGTGCTCCAGCTTGGGGCGTGGAGTCCTGCGAGTTCTTAATCAAAGATGTGGTTGCACGATGGCTGAAGAGAGCCCGCAAGGAAAAGCGGTTGTAGGGGTATATTACCAGGTCGTGTGTTTCCTCCCAATCAATTAGATGGTCTTCCAGCTTGTCTGCATTGGCTAAGGTCCGGTGCTGTTGTGGTTTATTAACCAAAGTTGAGGCAGGAACGTGCCTACCATTTTGAGCACTAGTGCGGCCAACAGACTCTTGCGTTCTTTGATTCTTTCAAGTCTAGTCGCTTGTAAGCGATGCTACAGACTTCGCGACAGTCAGTTCTTTCGAAGGATCGTTGTTGTGGTTGAATTGTCGTTGTCAAATGTTGATTGAGGTGCTCAACTTTTGCCTCAGTAAGTTGAAGTGGGGTTGACGACGTCGCGAAAAAGTGTACGCGAGCGCGTCTGTTCGAGCTCGCTGAAACAACTACACTCGAATCGCACACACGACCCTGATCTGCAACACACGACTGCTTTCCAAATCAAACGCCCCAACGCCACCATGTCCTTCGGCGGGCAGACGCCGACCATCATCGTGCTCAAAGAGGGTGAGCAAACAGGCCTTGAACATTAGCGACTACAGTACTGATATTTTGTAGGCACCGACCAGTCCCAAGGCCGCGGACAGATCATCTCCAACATCAACGCATGCCTAGCAGTCCAATCCACAATCAAAAGCACACTAGGCCCCTACGGTGGAGACCTGCTGTTAGTTGACGAGAATGGCAAGCAAACGATCACAAACGATGGCGCAACAGTAATGAAACTGCTCGACATCGTACATCCTGCGGCGCGGATACTCACAGATATTGCGCGGTCACAAGATGCGGAGGTGGGAGACGGCACAACTTCTGTGGTCGTGCTTGCAGGAGAGGTACTGAAGGAGATCAAGGAGTCGGTAGAGCAGGGCGTGAGCAGCCAGACCATAATCAAGGGGCTGAGAAGAGCGAGCATGATGGCTGTAAATAAGATCAAGGAGATTGCGGTCAACACGAATGAGGGCAACCAGAGGGATACACTGAAGAAGCTGGCGGCGACGGCAATGAGCAGTAAACTCATACACCGAAATGCTGGATTCTTCACGACGAGTATGTGCATGAAGTGCTGCTAATGGTGAGCGTCTGCTAACAGTCTATGCAGTGGTGGTCGACGCAGTTCTGTCTCTCGACCAAGACGACCTCAACGAAAAACTCATCGGCATCAAGAAGATCACTGGTGGCGCCCTCCAAGACTCACTCTTCGTCAACGGGGTGGCTTTCAAGAAGACTTTCTCCTACGCTGGTTTCGAACAACAACCCAAATCCTTCCAAAATCCCACCATCGTCTGCCTGAACGTCGAACTCGAGCTGAAGAGCGAAAAGGACAACGCAGAAGTGCGCGTGGAGCAGGTATCAGAATACCAAGCCATCGTCGACGCGGAATGGCGCATCATCTACGATAAGATGGAAGCTCTCTACAAAACCGGCGCCAAGGTCATCCTCTCCAAACTCCCCATCGGTGATCTGGCAACCCAATACTTCGCCGACCGCGACCTCTTCTGCGCAGGGCGCGTGGCATCAGAGGACATGGAGCGTGTCTGCCAAGCCACAGGCGCCAGCATCCAGTCTACCTGCTCGGACATCAGCGACAAGCATCTCGGGACTTGCGAGAAGTTTGAGGAACGACAGATCGGCGGCGAGCGCTTGAACTTCTTCGAGGGATGCCCGAAGGCCAAGACTTGCACCCTCGTGCTGAGAGGAGGCGCGGAGCAATTTATCGCTGAGGTGGAGCGGAGTCTACATGACGCGATCATGATTGTCAAGCGCGCGATCAAGAACACGACTATCGTTGCTGGAGGCGGAGCGTGCGAGATGGAGATCTCAGCTTACTTGCACGGATTCGCCGACAAGAATGTGCCGCATAAGCAGCAGAGTATTATCAAGGCTTTTGCCAAGGCGTTGGAGGTCATCCCGAGGCAGCTGTGCGATAATGCTGGGTTCGATGCCACAGACATTCTCAATCGTCTGCGCGTAGAGCACAGGAAGGGCAACACTTGGGCGGGAGTGGACTTCGACAACGAGGGTATCCGGGACAATCTGGAGGCTTTTGTGTGGGAGCCGGCGTTGGTGAAGATCAATGCCATCCAGGCGGCTGTTGAGGCGAGTTGTTTGATTCTGAGTGTGGATGAGACGATCAAGAACCAAGAGTCGCAGCAACCGCAGGCACCGCAGAGAGGCTTGCCGCCGGGTGCTGCGCAGAGGGCCATGAGGGGCAGAGGAAGAGGTATGCCGTCGAGGGGGAGATGATGAGGATTGTGGAACAAGTGTGGATTGTGGTGGTGTAGCATAGCGCGGCGAGAGCTATACATCCATACATCGCTCACTGTTCAGCGGTCCGCTTACAATTCTATTCTTGAGTATCAGAAAGAAGGCGAGAATTGGTCGGTATCCACCCAATCTCTATGCACACAATGCTGGATCGACACTGATCAGACGCTTGCCTCTCGTCCTTTCAAGTTGTTACAGCCTCGTCGACCTTGGCAAAGCTTCAGCCTCATGCTTGGTAACCTTGCGCAGGCTTGGTCTTGACGACGACATCACGCCAATTTGTCGACATCAATTTCTTCTCACGCCAGCGCGTGCGCTGCCTCATCTCCACGAAGGATATACAAACAAGGAAGGTGATTGCACAGCATCCACGTGAGAGCAAGGATTCTTCAGCCGTGCCTGATGATGATCGAATTCACCCGGCTAGCGTACCTCGTACCTGCATGAACTCGATCCTTTGCGGAGAGCTCTGGAGAAATCGAGGACAAAACCAGACGACTGCGGGGAGGCCAAGACAATGAACAAGCAGCTGGACGAGCCTGGGCTTAATATGCAGACGCCTCTTAATGAGGACATGCATCGGCTAATACAGAAGACCACGGGTTGGCAAACAACCGGAAGCGAGACCGCCGGCTTGACGGAGCGGTCGAGCATGGCAGCGATCGTATATGTTCGTCCAGCCTGCTGGGATGGCAGAGCTACCCACCACCTACCTCACCTCGCAGTAATTTCACAATGGTTGCCAGTCTTACTTCCCTGAGCATTGCGCTCCTCGCCACCCTCGCCCAGGCGAACTCTCCCAATGGCTATGGTTCTGGTGCTTCAGGACCAGTCATCAAGGTCGACACTGGATGCAAATACCAGGAGTTCGACGGCACTGGTGTGTCCGAGGCTTTCCAGCGTGGTCTCGTCATCCACGAGCTCAATGCTGCTTCGCAGAAGCTGGTGCTGGACTACCTGTTCACCACCAAGGGTGCCGGCATGACCATCCTCCGCAACGGGCTTGGGTCCGCTACAGACGATCCGTTCGATCTGATGAAGTCGATCGCTCCTGTGGCACCCGCCTCGAACAGCTCCGAGCTGAACTTCATTCCTCTGCCTCGCGAGGATGAGTACCAGGTGTGGCTCTCGCACCAGGCGATCGCTCGTGGCGTCAACACCATCTATGCCGATGCATGGTCTGCTGATGGGTACATGAAGACGAATGGTGGGCCATACTCGAATTCGGAAACTTTCACATACTGACTTTCTACAGGCACCGACAGCTACGGTGGCTACCTCTGCGGTGTCACCAACACCTCCTGCGCGACTGGTGATTGGAGGCAGGCATACGCCGACAAGATCGTCAAGTACATCCAGGATTACGCCGCGGTGGGCGTCTCTGTCAACTACGTTGGCTTCCTCAACGAGCCCGATCTCAACACCACCTACGCCTCTATGCAGTCAGACGGGCGACAGGCAGCAGACTTCATTGAGGTGCTCCACCCGACTCTCCAGGCTGCAGGCCTCAAGACCGAGATTGCATGCTGTGATGGCAGTGGGTGGCAGCAAAACAGGGAGCGCTTGACTGGTATCCAGGAGGCTGGCGACGAGGATTTGATTGGTCTGGTCACTGCCCACGGATACAGCGACTACCCCAGCTACCCCTTCAACACCACCAAGGTGAGCTTCAATCGTGTCCCGAATTTGAAAAACATAGCTGACATATTTCTAGCACGTCTGGCAAACCGAGTGGTCCACCTTCGACCCGATCAACTACGCCTGGTACTCTGGCGGCGATCGTTTCCAATCCGACGGTATCACTTGGGCAAACAACATCCACAACCTCTTCGCTGTCTCCAACGCCAACGGACATCTTTACTGGTGGGGAGCAGCCAACACCACTGACAACCAATCCCTCCTCTTCGTCAACGGCACCTCGGAGGTTCGCGTCACCGGCCGTCTCTGGGCCCACGCCCACTGGGGCAAGCAGTTCGTCCGCCAGGGTGCTTACCGCGTTGACGCAACCGTCACCGGCAGCAGCGCACTCAATGTGACTGCTTTCGAGAACACCGACGGCACGACCGCTGTGCAGGTCATCAACAACAGCAACGACACTCTGTCCGTCACGCTGCAGGGCCTGAACTTCCACCGTGGCGCGCAGACTTACCTCACTAACAACCTCCACAACCTGACTCGGGGCTACGCTC